CCTTTAAGATTTTCGCTAGTGGGTTTATCCCTATGCACTCAGCGCTGCACTGAAAAAACTTTAGTCCATGCCCACCTGCTGTGTGTGGGCCTCACCCCCGGTCCGTATAAATTACGGTGAGACCGGGTAATCACTAATCAGCTCGCAAATTAGCTTTTTTCTTCAGCCATCTAGGAACCAGTGAGGCCCAGAGCTTAAAGGGCTAAGCCTATACTCATAGAATCTGGGGTTACAGTACGTAACCAACGTTCTATTTTGTATAGGCTTCGCCCTTTAAGACTTTCGCTAGTGGGTTAAAGGCGAAGCAGGATGTAGTCTATGCCTCACTGGGTCCATTCAGACACAACATGAAGCACCTGCATGCACAAAAAAACATTTCATCACTCAGCCTTCTGTGCATAATTACGCGCTGCGTAATTGCGTGCTCCATGCACAGGAGCGCACTGGAGAAGATCTCTGGTGAGGAAAAAAGGCTGAGATAGCAGACCTGCTGCTGTGAATAGGAACAACCGAGGATACGAATTGTAACAGTGTAATGATGAACAGAGCAGACCAACAGCTCCTCAGGATGAACCGGTTAATAATAAAATCAGCAGTCATGAACTTGTGACTGATAATAAATATCTCACACTGCGACGGCATGCAGGCAGGTGTGCGCTCAAAAGTGAGGATCCATGAAACTAATAATAATCATTCTGACAGAACCCTGAGAACAGAATGGGTCATGGAGAAAGTAGAAACATCATCAAGATAAAAACGAATAATTGAACATGGCGATGACCGGGCAGCCACCATACAAATATTCTCCACTGGCATCCCTCCATGCAAAGCCATGGAGGATGAAAACCCTCTGGTGAAGGATCCAGTCCAGATGAACTGTAAACTTTAGAAATAGCCTCACACAACCAGTGTGAGAGGCGCTGGGTGGATAGAGGACGTCCTGAAAAGCTGTCCCAGTAATGCACGAACATACGCTGAAAGCGGCGCAGTGCTGCCGCGTGCACCACGTAACATGAAAAATGGGTGCATGGGACAGAAGGAGGTGAGATGTTGCTTCCTCTTCAGAGTTATGAGGAAGAGGATAAAACCCATCCAACGTTATCACTCTCGATCTGAATGAGCTTGTGATGCTTTTCAGAGCAGGTCTAAAAAAGTTAAATCTGGTCCTCTGGACATTCAAAAAAAACAAAACAAAGCAAATCAACAAAAAAATGTAGAAACGTTTCGTCTCTCATCCGAGAGACTTCCTCAGTCTGAGGAGCTGTATTCAGCTCAGTCTCTTAAATAGCACCGTCTCAGAGTGGATCAACCAGTTTGCTGCTGACAACCAAAACCAGCTGATCACATGCTCAAGAAGGACCATCAGCCTAACAATGGATCATTAGCACCCTGATGGCTGTTTACTGTTCACAGAGGGCTGAGTGATACTAGCAATCACAGCATTGTAAGAGGGGGACAGTTGAACCCGGAGGCCTCCACACCTGTTTAACGATGGACGATTTCTTTTCACAAAGATGGCCTCCTTTACTCCTCTCTCAAACCATCGTTCCTCTCTGTCCAGGATGTGAACATCTTCATCCCTGAAAGAGTGACCGCTGGCCTGGAGATGAGTGTATACCGCAGAGTCCTGGCCTGATGATGTTGATCTTCTGTGCTGGGCCATCCTTTTGGCCAATTTGGCCATCCTTTTGGCCAATTTGGCCATCCTTTTGGCCAATTTTAACCCAGGTGTGGCCTTCTGCCACACCTGGGTTAAAATCAAATCTCAGGAAGTCCAACATTTTACTGACCACATCAACTCTGTGGATAAATACATCAAGTTCACACGAGAAGATGTAAAAAATGGCAGGTTGGCTTTCTTGGACTGTGAGGTCTCAGTCTCTGATAGAGGACACTTGCAAACTGAGGTGTACCGCAAACCCACCCACACAGACCAGTATTTGCAGTTTGACTCCCATCACCCTTTGGAACACAAGTTAGGAGTCATCAGGACTCTGTATCACAGAGCAGACAGCGTCCCCACTAGCTCAGGAGCCAGGCAGAAGGAGAAATCCCACACAAGACAGGCTCTAGAGCAATGTGGATATCCTAACTGGGCCTTCCTGAAAGCAGAGAAGAAACCCAAACAGGACTCCAGTCAGCCAACAGGTGAAAAGGAGGAACCCAGACCCAGACCAGTGGTCATTCCATATGTTGAGGGAGTATCAGAGAAACTGAGACGTTTATTTTCTAAACATAACGTCCCAGTGGCTTTTAAACCCCAAAATACATTACGGCAAAGACTGGTTCATCCCAAAGATCCAGTCCCCCGGCCCAAACAGAGCAATGTTTGGCTTAGTTCAGTGTCAGGAGGGCTGTGATCAGTCTTACATCGGGGAAACAAA